GACAAAGCCAATGCCAAGTCCAGAGCGATTAGAAAAGGTAATTTGGTCATCTACATAAAATGTGACTCTAAGGAAAATTGCTGAGTGAAAGATGAAGTGTTTGTTTGTAGAGTTGTTAAAGACCTCGTTTTAAAATTAGTGCCCTGGTTCCAGTGTATGCACAAACACTGCTCAAGTCATAGGATGGTCAAGGCAGCTTTCTCCTCAGCCAGTGGGTGTTGCTAGGGCTGTGACCAGACACCACAGTGAAAACTAAAATAACAAAGAGCCAGTACAAACCATCTGACAGAAACACATACAGCAAATCTTTATTTCCTTCTCCTGCATCCTTCCCTCAGAGCTTTCTGCACTTCTGGCTCTGGCTTTGTGCATTAGCTTGCTAGTCTTTAGTCAGGTATCAGACTGTCAGTCATTCCTTATCTGCCCTTTCAAATTAGGTTTTTAAAGCACCTGTACCTTACTGTTGTAAGACACAGGGCCTGCTCAGCTGTTTCACTCAGTCCACAACTGGGATAACTCATGATCAAACTCCTAGTGTTTTTTACCTTTGTTTTTCCTTTAAAATTTGTCTTAGGTCTTTGAGATCTTTTAATTGTTAGCATTGGTTTTTAGTGGCACATCCTGAAACTATTTACCATTTCCAGGTGGAAAAGTCTATGAAAAATATAGACTTGGTTGTCAGAGAAAGAGAAATTGCTCTGAGGCTTTTACAAACTGGCCATGAGAAACCAGTGCCTGGAGAGTGGAGACATGACTTCCTGGGACGCACCTACTGGTATGGAAAACTTCCTTTCCTGTGTGTGAATTTTCTTGTAGTGTGTATGTTCACTAGCAAATCTTACCTAATCACGGAAGGAAGCACATACTGTATAGAACCAAATGTACATTCTGGTCAGGTGCTTCTTGATTTTTGGCTTTTTTTTTTTTATGTGGTTATTATTGTTGCTAAATAATTTAATGACAAACTCTACCATTAATTGTAACTAAATTAGTTCCATGTAACTAACTGGATTTCTGTGCTCAGAGGATGTTTGTCAGTACAGCTGTACTGTTAGACATGAATGACCTGGGGAATACTGTTCAAGTGAAACTACCTGGACTTCCCTAGTTATAATGCAAAATCCACATTTTGGAGGACAACTAAGTTAAAATGTCTGTTGGAATTCTCTACTAGTCCTGGCAGGTAGTTAGCTAAATTAGAAGCTTCTACCTTTGTTATCCAGATACTTTCACTTATCTGTAATTTCAAGTGATGATGCTGAAGGCTCAGACAAGACCTATTATTTCATTAGCCTGTATTTCACCCTCATCCTGTTGGCACTGGAAGCACTAATTACAGTATTCAGCTCTGCAGAACAGTGTGGATAACACAGGGCCCAATGTTACAGTAATGGTGACTTTTCAGTGGTTATCCATTGGTTTCCCCATTGAATGTAAATCAGCAGAGTACTGAATGCACTGACCACTGGATTTACATCTCTAGGGATAAAGCTTCTGTGTATCTTTCTGCTTGGAAACTTTGTCCACAAAGGAGGGTCTGGCCACATACTTGAAATCCAGTCCCCAGGTAAAGCAGGGAAGGGGCAGACAACATGGAGTGGTCTTCAAGCACCTGCAGGAACTCTGCAATACACATAGTGGCAGGTCTGACACTCTCTGGCTGCACTGGAGTGTGTAGGTAAGTGCACAAGCCATCTGTGCAGGAGGAACCCTGAACAGAAATAACATCTGTTTAGAGAAAGGCTTATGTTCAGGTGGATTTGCACTTGACAGGACACTCCAACACCACCATTCCAAAGAAAATTGCAGTAGAAACAAAACTATCTTCACACACCATTTGTTCACATCATTTGGGAAGTCTTCTTATGAAGAATTAACTTAATTACTGTCTGTCCTGGGCCCTGTGTGCAAACATCTGCAGAAAGAGGTGCAGTTACAAACTAAGCCAGCAAGAGCTGGAAACAGATACCCACACAAATTCTGCAACCTACCAGTCAGGCCACTCTATCACTGTACTAACACCAGCTGTAGAATCCCACTGGAATCCCAGAACGAAGAGAGTGTATATTCTGTCATCACTTCTACCTGTCTCCACAGGTACAGTTACAAGGAATGGCCAATACCATGGTACTTGAACAAAAAGCACAAAAAGAGGAAATTCTTCTACTTGCCTCATGTGAATCACTTCATCAGGTAAAAAGATACTTTTGTCATTGCAAGTTATTTTCTGATCTGCTCCCAGTCTTCCTTATTCCACTTCACAAGGGAAAAATAGTAGTAATCTTATTTGGTTTTTACAGCTAGTACACTGAAAATGAGGCTTTGCAAAATTGCAGCTTGCTCTTCCTTTTTGCTGTTCCCTCTTAGATAACCATTAATACCTGTGAAGTTGCACTGTAAGAGTAACTCAAGTGCAGACTATCTAAGATCCAACCAGAGGTTGAATTTCTGTAGAGTTCACCAGCAAAAGAAAAAACAATTGCTTTGTAGACTTTTTTACTATCACTGAGGGGCTCTATCTGGGGGCTGAGCTCATTAAGGTGGTCACAGGCTGTCTGGAAGTTAACCACAAAACTTCTCTCTTTTAGACTCAGAATTGAAAAATCTTTATGTAAAAGGGCGAGAAGGCAAAACCTGGAGAGGACAAGGCGGAAGGTCTTGGAAAGGAAGTTCCCTCACCTTGCTCTGAAGTCTCAGAGCCAGTAGCAAGCTAGAAGACCTCTGCAGCACTTGGTTGAATGTCTGTGACTGGAACATGAAACAAGTTCTGAAACCACAAACAATTCAACTGAGCATTCCTGAGAGTCTTTTTTTGTAAATCCTGCATTTGAGTTAAATTAAATTTGTGATCTGGAGTTAAAAAGGAGCTTTGGTGCCTAACTCACATCCTAACAGTTGTTTGTAGAATCATTTGACAAGTGATGTGTTAACTTGCTGTTTGTGAAACATCAGTCACAGGAAGAGCAGCAGTTGGCTGCCAGGTACCTGTGTGAGGTGTAGGATAGTGTGCACCTGGTTTACTTTAACAAATGTGCATTAAAACATGAAAGCCTCTGAAGCTCACATGAGCCTTTTCCCTGATCACCTGGGCTACAGGTGAGTTACCCCAGGTACATTTCCTTTCTGCATAGAAGCATTAGAAAATAAGTTCTTCAGTCTGCCCTGAGGAACTTGTCTCCTAGTTTAAATCTGACTTCGAAGAAAGTGACACACTCAGTGTGGGAACTTAGCAATGCAGTTGTCAGACCTAGAATTTAGGTACTTGTGACAAATTCAAGCACTTGTATAATGATTTTTGGCAAGGTGCAAAATGTTTGAAGGAAGACTAATGATCTTCTGTGAAACAAGTAGAAGGGTACACCTGCTGCTCTGAGTTGATGGAAGCACCTTCTTCATCAAAGCTTTTAACCTTCACTTGAGGTTGTCTGGAAGCTTACACCAAGTCACAAATAGTAGTATTTCAGGAAGCAAATGTGCTCAGCAATATAATCACTGCAAGGGATTATATAGATACTGGGACCATAGTATAAACACTACCAGGGAACCAGTACTGTTGCCTGTGAGTATCTGTCTCCAGCATTTTGACCTTCAGTTACTCCTGTGCATCACACAAATACTCTATGCTTAAATACAAGATCATTACTGTGGGGAGAAAAGTCCAGGAAGTGTTTTGCTCTCTGCAATGCTGCTGGAATGTTTACATACACTACCATCACTGGCCAATTCTTTCAAGATGCACAGAAGAGAAAAGTTGATCCAACTTGAGAACTCTAAGCACATGACACACAAGGAAAGCTTAAAATATCACTCACTGCAGTGTGCTGAGGTACAAGCTCAGCTGAGTTCCATAATCTACCTGAATGCAAACTAGACTTGAGACTTTTTCACCCAGAATGACAACAGCAGCTGGTGACTCAGAGCACAGTGTAGCTGACTGCAGTTTGCCTCATTTTGCCAGAGGAATATGTTTTTCAATAGCTTTGAAAATCTGGAACAAGCAACTTTGTCTCAAGAGCAACAAGTGGTTCTCACAGTAAGACAAAAGCCAACTGGTTTGATAAATTACTTTATTGTTTGGAGGTAATGTGGAACTTCTCATCTAGAGGCCTCCTCATTATTTACCCACAAGGTCTTTTAGGACAGAAAGATGTAGCAGTGCTGTTTACATTATTTCTTTTAGATCAGTTAAATGCTATTTGGTTTTCTACAGCTTTGGAGATAAGGAGCAAAACTTCATTGTGTTCCAAAACAATGTATCACACAGTTGTAAATTAAGATAAGCTTACCAGCAACACGGAGCTGCATCTTGACAGCCAGAACTAAAAATCATCTTGTGACCCTGAGTGCACCTTCCCCATGCAAACACAGGCACTTGCTGACTGCTGGAGTCAGTGAGGAGCCAAACCAGCTCTTTGTCTCAATTTCCCTGCCTCAAACAAGTTTTCTTCTCACCTACATCACAGAGGCATTAAATACATTCTTAGGAATCAGGTGGAAAGCACTGAAGTTTACTGAAGTGAAACTGCTCCATAACAGAACTTAGCAAACCAGTGCTTAATATAACATTCACTCCATGGAATGTAACACTTTCCTGTGACAGTAAAAGTTTACACCAAACAGGATTACTGAATACAAACTTTCCAAACAGCAGAGTATCTTTCTCTGCAAGTACTCATGAAGTTGCTCAAATATAAAAGATCAAATTTTATTTTTAAAGAGAGAAATAAGAGCAATTTAAGGCCAAAGTACCAGCAAGGAAGACTAGTAGTATGTAAAACTAGACATAATAAATTTGCAAGGTTATGCCTCTATCTATCAGCTAACCTGTAAAGCTGTTCCCAGGAAAAGATACTAGAGAAAATAGACATTTATACAAAATTATAAAATGCTTGTTACATGAATTATTGCTTTACATGGATGTAAACATCCTTTTTCTATGATAGTACCAATTAGGTCTCTCAAAATCTCTAAGGTCTGTTAAAATGCAACTCGAATTATGCAAAAAACCCAGTATAAACTTTCTACAAAAGAGAGTCCATCCCATTCCTGAGTATGCTAAAGCTATAAAACAGAGGGAGCACCAAGCAGGCAGCAGTTTTCACAGTAAGAGGTCTAAGGACATTTTCTTTCTACACACTGTTTCCCTCCTTCTTCATATTCTTGTTTAGAAATCCACATCTGTTGAAAAGTACCCTACAAAAAAAAGGAAACAAAGCCAACACACCATTAATAAAATTAATCAGAAAACAAATGAAAGCTAATAGAAACATGATTAGCTTTTTCTAGGAGGGAAAACAAGCAAGTCCTCACATTAAATGAGGTAATAGGACTTGACTTGCTTAGCTATCTCCTCCTTGAGTTTTGCATCAGTAGTGATGAAACTCAGCACAGGAAGTGTAGTGCCAAAGGCTGATTTCAGTCTCCCTTTCTTCCCATGCTGACAAATTAATCCCCACAAACCATTTCAGTACTCAGTAAGTAACTTGCAGAATGAAGCTCAGGAATATGATGCACAAACAGGTTTGCAACTTTCATGGCACACCAGATACAAGTAATTTCTAGAGACTACTTCAAGCCTGCACCTTGCCACTACAAATGGGAGAATGTGGCAGGGTACGTTTTGACTGGAAATGCTCATGGATCCTCTTCACCTTACGACCAGGATAGCCAAGATAATGATTGCTGTAGTAGCACAAACTCTGCAGTGCACACCTAGGGGGGATTAGATTTTTGGGTGACATTGGTGCTTAGCACAACCACAGAGTAACATGAGTTTACTAACCAAAGAAGCCAAAATTGAACCACCAATCCATGAGCTGAACCTCCTCTCCACCGTTGTGTTGTTCGCTATCAACTTCAGGCGCATGCTCTGAACAAAAAAGGAGGCAAAACAAACAATCAGACAAATTGTAGATGGTGACCTTTAAGGACAAGAAAAGGACAGCGCAAGGAACTTAGTGTAGATGTCAACATCAGGTGAGAAAGGTCTAATCTATTAAACTTGCAAAACTGCTCATCTGGAACGGGACGTGACTTTTACCTTGTTTCCCAAGAGGGAGAGCAGCAAATGCTCAGGGCCAGAAACAGAGCAGGGGAAGAGCAATGATATCACAGTATGTATTGTCATCTCCAACTCTGCACTGGGACTAAAATCTCTAACATTGCTGGACTTAGTTCATCTAGTCTTTAGTGGACCAAATCATTCCTTTTGTTTTCAAGATGTCTTGTAGCAGTAAAATCTTCGCATTTCAATGGGCTCCCCCTCAGCTGTTACACACAGTGAGGAACTGCCTTTCCCAGTTTCTCCTAACATTCATGACTTCAGAGGTGCTGCAAGGAGAACATTTTTTCTTGAATATGAAAATTCAAGAACTATGAGATGTATGTGCTCGCAAGAACACAGGTGTGAGGTATTAATACTTTCTTTGACACTCAGCTATTTAAAAATAAAGTATGCTAAATCACCAGGTTTTGTCTATGAGTAGGTTGAGTTGTCTGCAGAATCCAGGAAGAAGAGTTCCCACGATAAAGTGACAAGACCTCAGGCAGAATGACTGAATGTGCCTCAAGTTAGTTCAGCAGCACTTCAGATTAGAGGCCATCCAGGGAAACAGAGACTGTTGCTTAGGGACAATTACAGAACTTAGGATCACAGCCTGAAAGGAGTGGAGCAGTAAAACACTCAGTTATCATGTCACCTGAAATTCATTTTGTATGAGAACTTTTCAAGACTTATTTCTTTTCTTTAGAGAAGATTTCTTACCCTACAGAAATCTCTTCAGCTGTTAGTTTCCTGACAAAGGCCAAGCGACAACACAACCTTGTGTATTTATGTGGCAAAAAAGCAAAACGGTAACTCAGTGCAGGAATTGAAAGAGTTGTTTTACCGGTGGAGTTTTCTGAGACAGCTCTCTGTTCAATCTGTCTGTGAAACTCTGGATCAGAGTGTTTCCTCCTGCTACAATCACACTGCCATAGAGGCCCTAAAAAGAGAAAAAAACCAGCCTACAGTGTTAACTCTGAAATCATTCTGAAAACAGCTGTCTCTCTCAGAACAGAGGGATGGCAAACCAGTATGTACAGCCAACAGCAATAATACATCACTTGATGCCAACCATTTTACTTCTCCCAATTACTTATTTAATCAATTTCAAAATATTTCAAGACAGCTCAATATTAAACAATATAAGGAAGACAGAAGCCAAGTGATTAATGATTCTAAATGATTTCACAGAACATTTTCTCTTCCTTCTATGGAGAATTTCACACCTACAGATTTGTCCTGTAATCAAACTGTTGGATGTAACCACAAAGAAAACCTCACAGCAGTGCAACAGTTTTCAATCTCACTAATGCTGCAGTTGGTGAACACAAACCATGGCCAGGGCTGCTGAGCCTGCCTGACACAGAGGTTAAGAGGAAAAAATTTTGAAACAACCTCCCTGCAGTCTGTAAATATTTTCAAACTGACACCTGAGAAATGTAGAACATAGTTTCAAAAAGAAAGTTTTCCTTTAAAACATCTTCTTTCTACTCTCTATAAATTCTATATACTTTGTAAAAATAATCAATCATACCTGCCATGCCTAAAAATCTGGAGATAACACTCAACGTTATGAACATAAGATGCTCATCTGAAGCCAATCCAATGCACATTATGCAGTGCCAGCCACGAAAATTAGAACTTTAAATATGGGCAGGAAAAAAAAAAAATCATGATTTAGCATTTTGCAGGACGAAACAGTAATTGTACATCTCCCTATATAATTGTACATCTCCCTATATACAAATATGTAATACTTAGAGAATTCTCCTATGAAATCCACATTTTTTCCATCCACAGGGTTCTAGTCCCAAAAATACATCCCACCACAGATGTATCTATGCCTTAAAACACAGCATGGCTGACTAACACTCACCGGCCTGATGTCTATATCGCACATTCCGACGCTCGTGGTGACAACATGGCTCACACCCAACATCGTGTTACCAGACAAACCCTACAAGTAAAATCAGGAGTCTACACATCACCATTTCCAAAGAACAAGGCATAGAAAAGTCCTGAATGAGCTGTATTTACAAATATTACTAGAAAGGGAGCTAGCATTTTTTTTCAGGGAAGAAAATTACTTGTATTTTCCCACTCAGCTCATCGCCACTTTGGAACATTTCATCCTTCACTTGCCCAACCCTAATACAAGACAGGCAAATTCTAGCCCTGAGAGAACCCACAGTGCAAATCCACACATACAAATCATGAAATGAAAAGCATCACACAAATGGAAGGTAACTGATAACCTAAGAATTTAAAGCCTTCCAATTATCATAGTGGTTTTACCTTTACATTAGAAGGGTCAAACAATCCCTCTGGGATTTTCAGACGCTCAGCACCGAAGTCACAGTTGTAGCCGTTGGGGAACTCATAATGAACTGTTGGCATCTGTGCTGCCACCCTGGAGCACCAAAAGCAACACATTAAAGTGCTCTGTAAGAGGATGTCAAGTTATCCAAGCAGCATTTCAGCTGGAATATTGTGGCTGGTATGACTGACAGTTTTGATAATATTTATTATGATCTCATCTTGGAATTGTAAATTAAAGAACTATCACCTGGATGTTTCTATCTAAAATCTTCTGCAACAAAACCAGCCACAGCAATGAGCAGGCTGAACACCCCATGAACAACTGGTAGCTAATTTTCCAAGAAGGAGAAAAGTAACTTACTGTTCATCATAGGTTGAATCTGATACTTGGAGGACAGAAGCTTGGAAGTCCTGAATGACACACTGTGGAGTGGAGAATAATACGGTTGAAGAATTTCAGTCCTCAACTTTATGTAATTTATAGAACTGGTAATGACTTTTTAAAGATTTTCTAGATCTTCAAGAGAAAAACCTGCTATATTTGCAAACACAACTTATTCATGGGGCACTGAGGGGAGCTGAGAGCAGGAGGAATGACCTACTTACGTTACACATGTAGTTGTGCCAAGACCGAGTGACCTGAGGTAGCTTCTCTTTTCTCTTCCAGTTTGCTGGTGACCCCTCACGCACTGCCTCCTGAGAGGGTAGGACACGCTGCCAGTTACACATTTAAGCCTCTCCCCAAGCAAACACTTAGCAAACTAAGTTACTCTCCCACCTTTGAAGCAATCATATATGGAGGGATGATCTCTATGTTCATTTCCTGAAACAATTCCCGGCACTGCATAGTAATGAAGTCTCCTGCCAGTGGGGATTTTACAATGCCTAGAAGACAGAAGGGGGATCGAAAATAATAAAGAAAAAAAACCCTGAACCTGGAAAGTACCAAAATAATGAATAAACTCTCCCAACAAACTGTCTGTCAGTAAACACCATCAGGGCTTTTTTTCCTGTTTAGGGGGATACACAGATTTAAAAACAGTAACAAAACTGTACAAGCAGAACTTGTACAGTAGCTAACTTCACCCTGATACTACAGACCTGTTGCCCATTAAATTCCTTACCTTGCTGAAGCACATATCCATCATGCACGGGAATAGCAGTGGTGTGTGTTGCTCCACTATCCAAAATGAGACCTGTGGATCTCCCATTAGCAAAACTAGCCAAAATGATTAAGGAAAATATTATCATTTTCACTTCAGGAAAAAAATGTTGTTATACAACTAGAGCATAGCTAGGAATGAGGATCCCAATGGGTTATCCCTTGGCTCTACAACAGGATTTGTCAGATTCCTGTGTGCACCATCATTCTGTGATGTGCACAACCTCACAGAGAGAGCAGCATTTCACTTCCACCTGTGAACTAACCCAAGCTTTGGACATACAAGGGTGAGAGTGCACCAATACTACATAGAAAGCTCTAAGTACATCCAGCTTGTTTAGACTGTGAAGCTGAAAACATGTTATTAGTTTGAAACAATTACAAATATTCTGCTTAAGGCTATAGGAATTTCAAGCTCTAATTCCTGTATTTAGTAGTGTGGACAACACCATTTCAGGTCTGCAATATTTTTATCCATGGTGTACAATGGAAAATTTTTTTAAAAAAATGGAATTCCCTCCAAGGAAAACAGACTGAGAGAACTGCAAATATAAGTTCTAAAGCTTTAAAGTTCAGAAATGGAATTTGTTTACTTCCTCCTTGGATGTTTATGGAAAAAATCAATTTGAAAGAAGTTAGCTATGTTTTTATACTTGGAATAGCCTAGGATAAGTTAACTGTAATTTCCTAGGGGGACAAAAAGAAGGAACAGGCAATGAGACACTCCCAAGGATACGCTGTCAGGACTGCAGTTTTGCACAGGAAAAACGCAGGGATGTTGTAGTGTTCAAACATCAACTCCGTCAGCTTTTCACGCTTCGCTCTCGTATTCCACTAAAAAGCAACAAATCCAAACCATACATAAGTGACCAAACGAAAGATGTTTGCACAGTAAAAGATTGGGATCATAATAAAGAAGTAATTAGAAGAACTACAGCCAGAGTTTCAAATCTTACCAAAATTCTATGGAGACAGATTTCTAGTAATTTACTTCTTTAGGACCTTTTTTTATTCCAATTATACATCAATGCTTATCTATCACACAAAAGTTATACAGACTTTTCCTGTTACAGCAGAGATTTCTTTACACTTCTACAGCTCTTGCAGTACCAGTCTCTGAGAAATCTCCAAAGCAAGCACCATGCCCTTCTACAAGGGGAAAGATACATGAAGGAACTTGCCCAGTTGAAAGAAAAATAAATCCAGATTTTCCAGTTTCCAAGATATCTTTCTGCAGTTCTACTGCAGTTGTGATTCAGCCAGGATACATCTCCAATATTCTAGACATTACTGAGAACGCAAAGTGTTTTCCAAGCCAGCACAATAAAGTCAGTTTAGTTCTGTAAGACTGTTAATAGGAACCTCTATTCAGACACCCACTGAGCCATCAAACATGAAACAGGCACTGCAAATCCATCCACACTCCACAAGCTGTAATTCAACACAAGGGAATAACAAAACAGAAAATCCTGCTTGTTAAAGAAAGGCACAACTCACATATGGCCTTGTCTACCTGTTCTACTCTGACTCCAAGATTTACCCTTCAACTGCTGAGCAGTGTCAAATGACAAATCTTGTCCACAGATTTCCCCAGAAATCTGTGTTCATCCACTCCAGTTGCCCTATAGTACACTTAAAGAAACGAGGACAGAAAAAATAAAACTCCTCCATTATAAATATTACCCTGTTTCATGTAATATTAACAGGCTGAATGAAGCAACAGATTTTCAATGGCATTTTATTAAGTGTAACTTAATATATAAGACATCAAACATCATTTTCCTTATATTCTAGGCAGTTAAAACTTCTTGCTTTTTAATTTAATTCTTTTCAATAAGTGCAAAACCACAACATATTGAGAATACTTTCTAATACAACTCATACAAACTATTTCAGAACAGGCGTTTTAGACATTTTGTTTTCACAAGCTACTTTCCAGAACCTTCTTAAAGTATTTTAGAACTGCTATTTCTGTAGCTAAGTTTTAACACTTGTCACCTACAAGGCAATGTGAGACTTGTCCAAGACTAACATTTGCAGAGTCAGCAAAAAGAGTTATGAAAATGCAAAGCTGCTTTTACTCACAGGAGCTTCAGACATGAGGACAGGATGCAAACTTGCTTCAGATTTAATATGCATCTTGTAAGTGTGATCCAGAATTGCCTGGAAACTATCCCAGTCTTCAACTGCAACAACATCAAGGCAAGATTAGTTACTTCTAAGTTTTGCTTAATTTCATAATTGCATAAAGGTTTTCCAATTCATTTTGTTTTGTCACAAGCAGACGATTTCTCTTTGCCAGCAAACCCCTCTGTTATTAGTTCTGCAGAAGTCTCTGCTCTATAACAATCATGATGTCAAGAATTAAGCTGACAGGTCACAAACCAAACTCCAATTTGTATACCAGGTATCTGTTCTCACAACTCCTGCTGCCACACACAGAATGTGCTGACAGGAAAGCCATGACTTTCTGCAGCCTGGCAATGCTATTTTAACATCAGGTAGAAAAAGACAGAGCACCATACTCATTCCATTTTTTAGAGGTGAAATGGCCTCCATGTTCTCCCTTGGGACTCTCAGGGCATTGGTGTCTATGTAGTAAGTTGGGCCCCCTTGTTTGCCTTTGTCCCCATCTATCTCCATCAGAGTGCTGCCATTGTCCCTTTCTAGCACCACACCAATGGCTGTTGGGAAATCAACCTGCAAGGCAAAAGGTAAGGAGTGTATGAGAATTATTAATGTTTTGTTGGGGTTTTCATCTCAGAAATTCAGAGCTTTCCTTATACGGTGTAATTGTAACAAAAATCAACATATTCCTTAAAGCTGACATTCACAAACAAGACCTAAGGGCACAAATTCCTGTTGTATTTCCACGGAGTCACACAGATCCTCACCTTTGGGCAGTCCTCCCCTGCATAGCCTGCTCTCACAGTGTACGAGCCAATGTCAAACACAAGAGCCCCAACTTCATCTGAAAAGGTTGTCAATAAAGAGACAGTGAGTGGTTATTACACTCCTCCACAATCCCGACCCTTCCCTACCCACTGCCTGCAAAAGAAGAAAAGCAAGTCATCGTTTTCAAGGCAAGGAGAAACTTTTCCATTCAGAACTCTTTACCAGAGAACTACTGAAGGCTGCACAGGCTTTAACCGGGACACTGCAATCCTTTCCTTGGGCGTAAGAAAAAGGGGAATTTCAGCAAAAGAGGGACAACTTAGCTGCATGTAAATACAAGATAAAGCTCTCGGAAAGCACTACCCCAGCAGTCAGGCGAAGCCTCCCGGGGCGATCAGAACCAGGAGGTGAGCTGACAACAGCTCTCACCCCGCGGGCCCCGGGGGTGCCGAGCAGCAAACGCTGCCGAAGCGAATCCCCCGCATCGCCCCGCGGCGCTCCCGGCAGG